TTTGACAGTCATATACATTATGAAAATACCAACTTGCCCTATGTGCACGTCTCCGCGGCGGCGGCCCGGAGGGGGCCCGGCGGAGCGGTCAGAGCAGCACTGCGCCGGCCGGCGAGCGACTCTCGACTATAGTACGGGCTCTATTGAACGGCCTCAAGGTGCTCTCTCCCTATTCCGCTCGCCCGGCTACGACGCTGAGCTTCGAAGGAAAAGGTTTCGCTCGGCACGGCGTCGGAGAGCAAACTTCGGCGTTCGTCCTAGGAATTCCTAGACAGTGAAGCTGCACGCACGTCGGCAAGTGGGCCCATGACAAGGCGGGCTGCTGCTCAGAATCTGGGCCCTCTTGGCGCTCGCTCTCGCGCTCTCCATAACGGCTTTGCCCCCTCCCTCCCGCGCCGACGTTGGGCAGCCTGACCACGACAACGCCAGTGCCGCAGGCCTGCAACTCGAGGCGCCGTTGAATGAGCACGAGAGCCGGTGCACGACGGCGGCGCGGGTGATGCAGCCCAAGGTGAGGACGAAGGCGGAGGGGGCGGCGGCGGAGGGGGCGGCGGCGGCAGCGGCGATGGCCGCGGGGTCGGCCCGCCCGCCTTTGCTGCAGGGCTGTGGCGTGTGGGCATCATCACAGATCAACGTGAAGTCAAGGAGCGGAAGCTTCAGTGGGCACTTTTCGCGTCCTTTGCCACGCATATGGCGCTGCGGACCGGTCTACCGGACCCGCCCCTGATCTTGTTCTCTTCCTCGACTCGACCTTCCGCGATCTTCCTCGACTCGACCTGATGCTGAGTTCCCGCACCAGCCTGCGGACCAGCGCAGCTCAGTGGCAGTGTGCGACCAGGGCCAGTGGTAGACAGTGGACGTGCGTGAGGCTGCTCTCTGAGCGATGACACTAGCAGGGGCGCATCATGATTGCCATCGGAGTCTTGTATTACGACGCCGCCACGCTCGCAAGGGCCGCCTAAGCGCCTAAGCACCCAAAGCACCCCCCACTTAGGCCGCTTAGGCGCTTAGGCGAGTGACGGCCGGCTGCTCGGGGCCTGGCGTGCCTCCGGGTGGGGTGAGCGCCCCTGGGAGAGCCACTCTGCAAGTGGTGTGCGAGCGTGTAGCCTTTAGCGTGCAGTCGGCCATGACGTATGAGCGTGCCGGGCCCGAGAGCGTTCCAGATCCAGTCCTCTATGAGAACCTCTCGGCTCGAGAGATACGAGCCACTGGTGCCCAAGACGCCAAGAGCGCGCCGGACCCCGCCCACGACGACGCCAGTCGCCGCTCTCGGATGTCGCGGCCGGTGGCCAGCGCGGCTGGCTCTGCAGTGGGACTCGCGCGACTGTCGCCTCCCACTCTCCTCCCTCGTCATTCCTCTTCGTCATCCTTGGCAGCCTGGGTTTTCCGCGCGGCGGCGGCTTTGAGCCGCGCCTTGCGCGCCGCCAGGGCCTGCTTCTTCGCCGCGGCCTGCGCCTGCTGCGCCGCGGCCTGCCTCCTCGAACCGAGGGCTTTCAGGAGCGGCGCCAGCAGCTTCATCAGCAGCGCCCGGAGCGCGACGGCAATGGTCCAGTTGTTGCACAGGTAAATCACGGCAGCCATGCTCAGCCCCAATCTCAAGCCGCCGCCTCCTGGCCCGGGCTGCGCGCCACCGGCCATGACGCCCGGGTCCATGCCCATCTGCTGCCGCGCGCGCGTGGAAAAGGGAGCCGGGGCCTCACCATTGGGCGTCCAGGTGGCCTCGATCGATCGATGCCGCCGCGAAGACGGAGCAGCGCCACGCGAGGAGGCCGGGCGATCGCACCGTGGCACGAGGCCACCACCACCAACAGCGAGCGGCGAGACGGGGCGAGCATGCTCAAGCGATAAAAAACGTGAAAGTGCTAGGTCAAGAAAAAAAGTTCTGGGCTAGCTCAAGAAAAAAATGATCGCCAACGAGATCGCCCGAGATCGCCCGAGATCGCGCGGCGCGGCCCGGGGCGGGGTGGATGGGTTGGGAGCGAGGGGGCGGAAGTGACCAGTGCGGTAGATCGGTCAGCTCGAGGCGCGTGAGCCGGACTTGTGAGCCGGACCACCCCCTCTTGAAACCTGCGTTGTTGAGCCAGGACTCAACATACTCGGGCTGTCGCCGTCCCAAACTGTCACTCCCCTTTCTCCCGGCCGGGGTGGGGCGGGGCGCGCGCGGGTGGCGGCGGGTGTGCGGGATGTCTGTGGGCCCGAGAGCGATATGCCATGTCCGCCTTGCTTTGTTTCCTAACATCGAAGGCTAAGTCCAGAAAAAATTCTCGGCTTTGGCTGACGCGTCCACGAATGGAAACCGACGAATAGCGCGCTTGCCGTCGTCCGCGAACAGCCCGCAGCAGGATGCTGCTCGAGGACCTCCTGTCGACGCTACTACTGGAACCGCTACTTGTGAACCGAATATTTCGATGCGCGACAGCAGGAAGCAACCTCGCCGCGCTTAACACATCCAGGGCCATGCGCGCCGCCGTGATCGCCTCACTGAGTAGTGAGCGGTGCGAGGCTCGAGACAGCACACTCTTCGAGTGCATCGCGAGCTGCACCTTCGGGACGCAAGTGAGACTTATGTTTTGGGCTGCCGGCATTCAGGTGACGCACTTCCGTACAACGGATGAGAAGTGCGGGACCCTCCGTGACGAGGCGCTCCTCCTTCTCGCTCCGTCGTGCGTCACCGACATGGCAGCGTTGAGTCTCCACGGTGATCGCCGAGCTAAGCGCGTGGCGGCCCTGGGCGCCGCAATCCGCTACCCGCTCCGTCTCGCAGCAGTGTGCGTTGAGGATGCGAATCGCGCGCCATCGCCAGAGTCGCGAGGAGCTCGCCAAGCGCGGTGTGGCTTCGCCGAGCGCGCGCGGCTTCGCGACCTTGCGGCCGATCTCGCGCGACACATCGCGCTTCGCGTGGCGGCGCCGCGGCTCCAGCTCAACGTCGAGCCAGCCGCGCTACCTGCCGACGGCCAGCTGCCGCCGAGCAACTTCTTTGCGACAGCCGTCGCCCTCTTCTCAACCCTCTCGTTCGAGCCCCAACCTGGCCCGCCTGGCCTGCCCCCCTATTCGCCCCCCATGCTCAAGGCTAGCGGTGCGCTCGCTCTCGCGCTGGATATCGACGTGCCGCCTGCGACGGAGGCCATGCCGACCTATGCGCGGCAGATCCGCGCAGTGGTGGGCGGTGCGTTGCTGCGCTTCGGAGGCGAGGAGCGTTGGAGTCGGCACGTGACGTGCGCGATGCTGCGAGCGGCGCTCGGCGCGCTGCGTGCTTTCGTCGCCGCGGTGGAGCGCGAGCGGGCCGACGCAGAGAACAGAGGCGAGGCCGCGGCGGCGCAGCACCGCAACCGTCGCGCCGCCCGCGAGCCGGCGGCGGCCCCTTGGCTCGTAGAGGAGTCGGCCTTGCGCGAGCTCCTCGGCCTCGTGCCGCCGAGGGGCGAGCTCGAGCTTGTGCGTAGGGTTGTTGGTTACGTCGGCTTCGCTGACCGGCATTACCGCACCTACCCAATCTATCCTCGCAACTTCGACGTTCGCGCGCTGCTCACCCAGGCCGGTTTCTCCGCAATCTACGACCTCTACACTGGAATCTGGCGTACACTTGCGCAGCGACCATACCCGGCGGAGGTCGCGCTGCCGCCGCCGATGCAACCAGAGGAGTCGGCACTTCACTTGCGGGGCGCGGTCTCGACGCGTGAGAAGCAGAGGCCGACGTCTCCCACGATGCTCGACTCGTGCCCTCGCTGCCGCCGCCACCCGCGGCACTGCCCAGCGGCGGCGGACGCGAGCACAGCGTCGCTCGCCGTCCAGTTGCGGCGGCTCCTCGTGTGCAGTGAGGAGTGTGGCTGCGTGCGGGGCTTCCCAGCAGATGACTCGCTCCTCGCGTGGCGTTGCGCAGTGCTCGGGCCGGCGGATACGCCGTGGGAGGGGCGAAGCGTCGAGCTGCTCCTCCGCTTCTGCGGGCCGTACCCTTTCGCCCCGCCGCTCCTCTTTGTGCTCTGGCCGCGGCCCTTCCACCCAAACGTTGATGATGTGACCGGCGCAGTCTGTATGGATTTGCTGCAGGAGCAGTGGTCGTCCGCCGGCGGCGTTTTCGCCGTACTCATGTCGTTCCTGTCGCTCCTTGCAAGCCCCACCCTCGACGACGCGTCGGCGATGCCCGCGAACGTTGAGGCCGCTAGCATGTGGCGGCACGCGAGAGAGGATTTCGAAGGCGAGAACGCGCGTCGCGCGGCGTCGATGCCGTGGTGGTAGATCAGCGTCAGCGTCACCGAGATTCGTCTACGCGTAGAGGCTAGAGGGTGGCGCTGTCTGTGTGTCGTGTGTCTGTGTGTCGTGTGACCCAGAAAAGTGTGGTGCTCTTGTGTGTGGTGGGTCTGTGCACAGTGGGCAAAGTCAGGCTGCAACAGGGCAGCACGATGGTAGTGCCCTGCTGCAGCCTGGCCTGACATGCACACAAGGCGAACAGAGACACTACTATCGTCTGGCGCTCGCGAATCTGGGCCAACTTCGACCGCCGCCACAGCTGGCCACGAGCACGCAGCGACAAAATGCTGACTGTATGGAAGTTGAGGCTGGTCGAGAGGAAGAGGCTGCCGTGCGAGCCGGCAGCTGGCTGGCTCGGGCGGGCTGAATCCGGCGTCTTTTTTCGGCTTCTTCTTTCATAGTAGCGTATACGCTACTTTCGTTTACCCACACTAAGGGAGTAGGACTGTGGGCGGTGTCGCTCGCAATCGGCGCTGCTTCTTCGTCGTCGACCGCTACTACGCCTCAGCCGTCAGCCGAGAGCAGAGCAACTACCGAGAGGGAACCAAAGCGGTGTGGCAGCGCCACGCCGCCAACTACAACAAGTGGGTGGCGTCGACGCGCTGCTTCCACCCACCGCGCTCGTCGAGGATCCAGAGAGCCCCGAGCCGCCCAAGAGCTCGCACTTCTCCGGCGCGGGCGGCGCCGAGGCCGACGGCGCCGAGGGCAAGGCGGCCCGGCGCCTCCGGCGGCGTTCAAACTTCAATGTGCAGCGTGCAGTGCTCGAGGTTCTGCTCAGCATCCCTGCGCTCATCCACAGGCAGGACCCCACGCGCGCACCGACCCCAGGTATGGCCGAGATCCTGCCCAAGTATGGCGAAATGCTCGACGTGCGCGGCTGCATCAATGGCCACCTCATCTGGCTCACCCCGCTGGCGTTCGCGCTGCGGGCCGGCGTGGAGCATCGACGCGCTCATCTACTTTGCGTAGTTAGTCGTGTCTAAATAGGGGCTATAGAACAAAACGTTCGCGCCGCAGGCGGAGATATGCAGGGAGAGAGACAGGCAGGGAGAGAGACAGGCAGGGAGAAGTGGAGGGACAAAAAACGTCTCGCAGACAGGGAGGCCACAGGCGCAGACAGGCAGGGAGAAGGGGAGGGACAAAACACTCGCGACCGCAGGCGCAGACAGGCAGGGAGGACGGGGAGGGCAGAACTCGCTTCGCAGTGCTAGCTAGTGAACATGCGTGGACGTGGTGGTGCGGGATGGTAGTGGTCAGACGATCTGGCTCATCTGGGCATGCGGCTCTTTGCAGGCTTCGGCAAGGTCACCGCCACTCGACGGCTCCGTCTTTGAAGAGGAGCCGCGGGGCTGCGTCGTTCGAGCGAGGGCGGTGACGCGGCGAACGCGCGACTGAGCCGTCTGCTTGGTCGCGCCGAGCGCCTGTGCGAGGAGGGCGATCGACGCCTGCCGGTGCGGTTCCGCGTGGCAGCCGACGGCGAGGTCGTTGTACAGCCCATCGGAGATCAGGTCGCGCGGCGTCACCTCGAAAAAGTGGGCAAAGATGCAGCCGCCGCGGACGGCATCATTCTCGTGCGCCATGACGATCGGCAGCCTGGCCTCGCGCGCGGCGCGCACCTGCTCTGCGAGCGCCTCGGCGCCGTCGCCGGCCCACGTCGATTTCTTCAGGTAGAGCAGCATGTGGGTCGCCTCGTCGCCGCCTCGGTCGCTCGCGCGCGGCGGCGAGGAGAGGCGCGAGGGTGTTGTGGCGGTGACGGAGATGCTGCCAGCCACGGCCGCCGCGACCGCATCGGCGAGATCTCGCGCCCCGTCGTTCAAAGTCGAGGCCCAAAGAACCACCGGCTTGGGGAAGGCGAGGTCGTCGGCTCGAAGCTCGCCCGGGATGCACAGGGGCAGCGCCTTCTCGTTCTCATATTTTGGCGTCTTCAGCAGCAGCGCCTCGGCGATGACCTTGAGCGAGACGTGCTGGAAGGCCTCGATCCGATGCCACACCACTATCGGCCAGCCGGCGTCAAAGATGGCGGCCCGCAGCTCCTCGGGGCATTCGGCTCGCAGGTCGGCGAGCGTGCCCCCGCCCTTGTCCGGGTCTGCCTCGTGGACGAGCACGAGCGGCTTGCCCATCTCCAGCGCGGCGCGGATCTCTCGCAGGCAATTTGTCGAGCGTAGGTAGCCCCGCGAGAGGAAGCAGAGCACCACCTGCGAGCGACCAATGTACGCCTCCAGCTCTCCGATGTTCTTGAGATCGTCGACATCGAGGAAGATCTCGCAGCCGGGCAGGAACTGCAGAAGCTCATTCTTGATGACGGCGACGGCGTCCTATAAGGGAGGAAGGCCAGGTCAGGTCTTCTCCGAAAACTGGTGAGGCCAGGGAGTGGCAAACCTGCCCCGTGCTCCAGACGTGGCTGAGGAAGAGGTGCCACTGCTGGCCGTCGGCGAGGGTGATGCCGTCGCGCATCGGCTCGCGCTTCGAAGAGGCGAGCCGCATGGTCTTCGCCCTCGCGGCGCTGACCGCCGATACGAGGATGACGGCTAGCGAGATGGCGAGCATGACCGCGGTGAGGACGACGACAAAGGTGGTGGCGCTGCGCGAGGTCTTGTAGCCGACGAGATTGTAGCACATGCCTTCGTACATAGTGCTATCGCAGAGCTGCGGCGGCGAGGGGGCGGGTGATGTGAGGTTGCGCTGAGCTGTGAGAGAGGGACAGCGTGGGGCGCGCTACGGAGCAGCTTAGTATA